ACAGGAGGAACGGTGGAGGTCGACAGAATTTGAAGGAAGGCATCGGGCGTTGGTGAAGCGAATGGAAGATCACATCGCAGAGCAAGAAGAGGCTGTGAAGCACTGGAAGGGGAGTTTTTCTCAATTGGCTATGTTGGCAAACGGAGCAATTGAAGACATCCCCAAGATGGTGTTGGCCGCTGAAGCTAGTACCCACTTTTGCGACCCGCCGGAAGAAATCAAACTTTTTATTAATCATTGTAAATGGTTGGTAGGCGAGATGAAATCCTTCATCGTTCGAGCTCAGGAGTGATGTATAAATGAGATTATCGTATTTTGTGCCTTTAGGCAATGTATTGAACTGAATTTTTCTTTAAATGAAAGATGCAGAATGTTCGTTTGGTACCAACTTGTGTTAATTTCCATCATTGATGTTATCGTGATCCTGTGATTTCCACCCTTCACTAGCATGCATCATATTTTTTTTAGCATATCTCGTTCTCATCTAATTTAATTCGATTAAAATAATAAAGCAGTACGAGTGAGGAAAAACCACGGCAAAACTTCCACGACATCCTTACAGGACCCGAGCTAATTCAAGAATTATGGAGGATTGGGAGGATGCACACGAAGTGGTCAAAGCCGATATCAGTCAGCTGAAGGACCAGATAGGTCAGATCCTTGCTGCTCTAGAATCTCTTAAGACAGCGGGAGAATCTTCATCTGCACGAGTTGAGGGGAATGCCCACTATTATCCCCCGATGTTCAACGCTGTAAGCCAATCGGTCCCTTTCCCGATGTATGGCTTACCTCCAGGTTATACTCCTCCTATAGGAGAGTACGCAGAAGTAGAGCAAACTGCGGTCTCACTTCCCCCAACGACTAATGTAATACTGACCGGCACTCAAGGACCTGTTTCAGTGTCGGCTCCCATAGGGGGTACGAGAATGAATGAGACCAACACAACTGATGGAATTCGGGTGACCCCAGTACCGCATATGGGTACTGGAGGGGGCTTTTCAGCCAAAGTCATACCAAACACCATGTTGCAAGGAGTAGTCAGTAGTGCTGATGGGACTAAGAATAAGTTGGAAATACTGGAGGAGAGATTGAGGGCCATCGAAGGGGTCGAAAGTTATGGGTTTGGAGATGTCGCGAGGCTGAGCTTGGTTCCCGGGGTGATGATACCACCCAAATTTAAAGCGCCGGAGTTCGAGAAATACAAAGGTAATACCTGCCCGAAAAGCCATCTGACCATGTACTGTAGAAAGATGGCTGCGTACGCTTACGATGATAAGCTACTCATCCATTTTTTCCAAGACAGTTTGGCTGGGGTAGCGTTGAACTGGTACACCCATCTTGAGCCGTCTCGAATCCGTTGCTGGGCAGACCTGGCAGACGCCTTTATAAAGCAGTATATATACAACACGCACATCGCACCGGACCGACTGCAACTGCAAAGCATGTCAAAGAGGGACGACGAAACTTTCAAGGAATATGCCCAACGGTGGAGAGAGTTAGCTGCGCAAGTTGAACCACCTTTGTACGACAGGGAGGTGGTGGCAATGTGTGTGAACACTCTCCAGCCGCCATTTTATGAGCACATGGTCGGGAACGTGTCTGCCAATTTCGCTGATATCATTATAATAGGAGAAAGGATAGAAATAGGGGTTAAAAGTGGGAAGATTGCATACAGTTCGCCCACAACTACAAAATACAAAAAACCCAATTTCAATGCGGGAAAGAAGAAGGAAGGGGATGTGCATGCGGCGTCGGCAATACCTGTGTGGAGAGGTCAAGCTCCTACTCATAGCTTCCGACCATACTTGGGGCAACCCCCTCTTACAGCTAATGCGGTGTTTGCTCATCAAGCCAGGCCTCAACAACAACAAGGTTATTATCAACCGCCATTGCCCCCAACTGATTCTTGGAGAGCTGGGGCAATTGCAGGTCCAAATCAGAATGCGAGCCAAAACACTTACCCAAGAAGGAACCAATTTGTTAATTTCACCCCTATCCCTACAACTTACACAGAATTGTTACCCCAACTCGTCCAAAGGGGTTTGGTTGCTATTTGTCCGATGAAGCCCATGCAACCTCCGTACCCCAAGGGCTATGATGCAGAGGCCAAATGTAGTTACCATGGGGGAGGTGTTGGTCACTCAACTGAGAGGTGTCTGGCCTTTAAACACAAAGTACAGACTCTAATTGACTCGGGGTGGTTAAAGTTTCAAGAAGATAAACCTAGCGTCGAGACTAATCCGCTTTCTGGGCATGGGAGTGCCTCGACGAATGCCGTCGAGGATGAAAGACATGAGTTGATAAGAAACGCGGGTGAAATCCGAAGTTCAAGAAAATTTATCTTTAAGGCGCTGATCAAAGTGGGCCTTTTAAAAGGCGATTATGACGAGGATGTAACGTGTGCACTTCATCCGGACGATGGGCACTCTATTGAGGAATGTGGTGAATTTGAAGATATTTTACAGGACTTGCTGGATAGAAGTTTAATGCAAGTATGTTACGAGGATAAGGAGGGGGAAGTGTTCACACAAATCGGCGGGGAATCCGACGTAACTTTGCCTGAGTCATTGGTGATTCATTTCACTAGAACCACCCCTATGCCAGTGTCTGAAGAAAGGTCGTCTGTCGTCATTCGGGGGCCGTCTCCCTTTCCCTACAAAAGCGAGAAGGCTGTCCCTTGGGTGTATGGAGCACATGTGTTATATGAGGGAAAAGGCGTGGATTCGGCCGTTGAGAACATAACAGGCATAGGTGGGATGACGAGAAGTGGTCGAATCTTCGCGTCACCAATGGTGACAAAAGAGGGGACCAATAATAACGAAACAACAATGGCCGCGAAAGCCGGGGAGGACTTAAAAGGAAAGGGCGCGCAGGTAGAGGAGACCCCTAATGAGGAGGAAAAGAAAGAAATATCCGAGGAAGAGGCCTGCGAATTTTTAAAATTCATTCAACAGAGTGAGTATAAGGTGGTGGAGCAGTTGAATCGCATGCCTGCCCGGATTTCCTTGTTAGAATTGCTTATGCATTCTACCTCTCACAGAAAGTTGTTGATGAAGGTACTCAGTGAGGCTCATGTCGAGCATGGTATTTC